CCCCCGAGTCCGGAGATTCCTGATAGAAGGAGTGCATCTTATCTATCTTCTTGAGCATTCCTTAGAGCTCAGAGAGAAATGTAGATAGATGTCAGATAAATCTAAACATTTTCTCAACCCTAACCTTTTGCTCAAGCGGCAGTTGTGCCCACACCATACTCTCCACCAATACGAGGACGCTGATTGGCAAACTCAGAGAGCTACGATTTGGTTCATTCATGGTTGGAGCTAGGAGCTCAGTTTCAGCCATGAATGAATCGTAACCTCTGCGGGTTGGGAGATAGCTTTGTTGAGAAAAACCTATCAAGATCCACCAATTTCAGGTGCGATCTGAGGGGACAAAAAATATCTCCTGAAATATGCCCTACGTCATTATATACTTCGACAAAAGAGACTATATCGCCCCAAACTTCTTTCAAACGTATTGAAGAAGTTCAATTACTTAACTCTCCGATTCCGAAGAAGTTTTGTAAATACGTACCTGTGGTGTACATATGTTTTGCACAAAACGATGAAAGTAGTGCAATACCGGGACAGCTCAATATTTATTTGCAAACACTCCGAAACCAAGCATAATCCGAAAATCATACAGCCAAATGCTTGGCACAAAAGTAATTCAGAAAATCCTTCTAAAGTATCACAAGATTATACTTTTGCCATAAGTGATTGTTTCTATGTAGTCTTTACTGATTCCAACCTTTTACGGAAAATGTACACGTTATTGCGATTTTATTGCTATTGTGCTTTTACCTTACATTCTGCTTACCATAACAGCACTCATTGGTGGTTGTGAGTGACATGGCAATATTGGCCAGTAAAGTTATGGCACATTTGGAAGAGTAGAAAACTTGTAAAACTGGACAGCTAAAGCAATGGCCTCAAACGTGCTAATGGAAGCCCTGCTGACGACAAGTTTGTAATTTGAAGGTAATGTGCAGAATTCGCATCTAAAGTAACCACATCTTATCGCATAACAACTGAGCAAGTTTATTTGCGCAAGATGCCAATTTGGCGCACAAACATTTTTTTTGCTTTTTTCGGCAGAATGCAACAGGGATTGGGTCTGATTCATAGCGCGTAACCATTGCATGGACTATAGTCATGACCAATTATAGCCTACATTATGTGGCCAGTAAAAGAGCGAAACGCATGTAGATTACAGTGCAACATGTCCACTTTTCCTCACTTGAATCAAGTGATGTTTTTAAACAGTTGGACCAAATCGAACGTCAAAGATGATTCAAACAAACAAGCATCTGCATACAAAACCCGTCTGAAAGAGTGTAGTGGAAAATTGAAGCTTAGCCAAAACGTGAAAAAACCTATACTATCTGCTATACTACGCTGTCTGTGTACATATTAGACGCAACAAGGTGAAATGGCATAGTAATCGAAAAAAAGAAGAAATGATATAAGATATTGCTGAAAAATATGTTTTCGCCGATTTTGGTCTATATGCTAATTGTATGAAAGTTCATCTTCAAAATTCGTTACACTTCTTCTGAACCGTTCGGAAATTTTGGGAGTTTCTTGTTTTCTGAAGTGTGTGTGGAGGATATGTACAAAGGTTAATAGTAACCACACGTTGGGGCTGCTACAAACAGCATTGGTATATGTCATAATGTTCCACATTGTTTTTCGGGTTTCAACCCTAAACTCAGTGTTTCCTGAGAAGTATGACACCTGTAACGGGTGCAAATACATGATCGTATTTCAGTATGTGTCAATTAATCAAGTGTGTGTAAGAAACCCAGGACCGTTGCGCCGGGTTTGCTTTACTTTCATCATTTTTATCCTTTCCAACCATGGAACAGATACGAAAAGTATGTAGTTGTGGGAAAGTCTTAAGATGTTAAAGGGAGACACGACTTTTGACACTCAATTTTGTTTTCTGTTACTATCAGATTTTGGCTTCACACTTTACGGATACGGTTTAGGCGGACGCTTGGTAGCCATTTATCCAAATCATTAAACAGAGCTAAGAGATGGACGGCTATGGTCTTGGTAAAATCGGGAAAGAAGGAATTTACATATTATTTCATTCTCATTCTTGCATCTCTGCGAAAATTTCGTATTGTACGTTTCCAATAACAGCAGCTGCACTGACTCCGAAGGCAGTACCTGCTGCGATTCCTAGAAAGTCCTTCACAAGCGTATGTGCTTGCATTATCTTACTCCCCAGAACCGTAGTCTCAGGTTTTTCATTGTAGATTTCTTGTGGAACTAGACCGCAAGAAAAATCAAAAGAAAAATCACATACACATACAAAGATCCAAATAGAATTAGACAATCACGTTTTCTGGCTTCCTTCAGGAACCATAGTTACAAGGTACCAACAACTAATTTAAGAGGATAACAAATCAGACTCAATGCTGAAATTTTTAGTTCAGTCTTCAATTTCCTATACTAGCCTTTACAGCAAAGATGAGCAATTGAAGCGGAGGTACGATTTTGATAGTTCTTGTAACGATTTCCTCTTCTGACGCATGTCGTACTACGGACATAGTCATCCACCACAACAGCCTTTTTGCATAACTCTGCTGATGTTGCAGCGAATGTATGGTATTTGCACCGTAAATGGCAAAAAGCTGGAGAAAGAAACCGGAGAGATCTTCTATTTGCAAGCTCAAATAAAGAGGAAAAGTTCAAGAGGGTTAAATCAGGAGAAGAATCGTAGAACTGTACTTATGGCAGCCAAGAATAATTGTCACAAAACAAGTCTTCGCTTGATCAGGGGGATGATGTACTATCAAATAAGACTAAAAGTAAACTGTGAAAGCAAATATGTACTTTACTAGAAATACCTAATCACTGCTCACCAATTCTCTTGAGCGGGGAAAACCTAATAACTTCCTACAAAATTACGTTTTCTGGACTGGTACACATGGTGGCTAACGTTGAAAAATGCATTATTAGAACAAAGAAACACAGAGAGAAAACCATGTTCAGGTTTATGAGCTTTACTTATCGTAGCAGTTTTTTATCTCTGTTTTAGAAGAGCAACGGAAGAGAAAAAGCGTTTGACATTCCAACAAATCAGTTATGAATGGATTGCGGTGAAAGATGAGGTTGTTCGCGTCTCCTACACCAACTTTTGTTCTATTGTTTTTATTAAAGCAGTGGAAAATATTTGAAGCAACTCTAAAAAAATCAAACTTTTTCAGTTCTCGAAGGTAAGTTTTTTGGGCAAATGTGCAGCAAATTCAAATTTATCGTGTTGCAAGTGCAAAGCTGCAGAATCCATCACTTAGTCTCTAAGGCTGTGCGAAACCGGTCGTCTAGGGTTTTTTTGACTTCGGTAAAGTAAACGTCATTTTAAGATAGCAAGGCACTTGGGAGTGCAGCAGAGCCTCTACTTCCCGACCGCAACGCGAAAAACATTCACCGATCAAACCTGATTTTAAATCACACAGAGCATCGAAAGACTTGTTTCTAATGTTCTATCAAGACGCATATCTCGATCAGTGGTTTTTCACAATCAGAAAACATTTAAGTGATAAACGTTCCAGCTAATTAGGATAAACAACTTCGTGAAATTCAATCAATCTAACATATTTAGCTTCGTTCTTGATCAACTAGAGAATCTGCTGCATTTCTTTGGCATTTTTGAACAGAGAAATAGCAGAGAGAAGATGTGTGATATAAGATCGCCATATTCGCCTATCATCTTTCTTGTCGAGTACATAATTTGAGAACAGCATAAGAAGTCCGGTTTTGTGTGCTTCACCGATGTTTTGAGCATCACTTGACAACCTGATGTTGGAGAAGAACATAAACCAGCTGGATCGGCTTCGAACTTTCTATTAAACTCTCGAGTGAGCAATCGCATGAATTGTAAAAAACTCTCTTCGAACAATTGATTAGTGACATCGCAGTTCTTTCTCGACACTTTCCACGAATTCGAGCACTCCGAAAACAGAGAGGGACTATTGAAAATAAGACTTGAGCAGTTGGTTTCATCGAAAGGTCTCGTTTGTCCAACGCCAATCGGCTTTGTGCGTAGTTTTTGTCCATAAGAAAGGTCGACGGACCCTCGCTCTAATTATCTTCTATATTTCAAACGAGAAGAGCACATAAATTCCATTTTTGAAGATAGATGCATCTCGAGACACGACTGACAGTCTACAGCATCATTCGTGCTGGAATTGTTTAATGCATAGTGAAGCTAACCAAAAACTAGGCTAGATCTATTGCACACACGGGTAATTACTCGTCCCTGCTAGCGCAAGTTTTAGCGCCAGAGAAAAAGTGTAATTTGGGGAGTATTATTACGTCAGGCTACGTCGCAGAATAGATAGTGGAATTTCTGCTGGTTTCGAAGCCTATCTATACAAGTACATAAAATAAGTACAAGTCGTTTTGCGCGATGGATAGCTGCAAGTACTCTCTAGGGCAGAAGCTGCAAATGGTGTCTTGAATAGTCCAATTCCCCGGGGAGCTTCCACTAATCACCTCTGCCTAATTATCCATTTCAATCAAAGATCTTAATTCTTTGAGCATTAACTACACTCTCGTTTTGATCTTCATTTATGAAAGATTCTATTACCTTCTCCCTCCGACCACACTCCACGCTCAACGCTCATTGAAGAAACCCGTGATTGACTCTGAATTGTATCAGCCCTGAAACAAAATTCCTACTCTGTTGTGTTTAATGTACAACAATAAAGATATTTCACATTTGTTTTCGAAACCCCTCTCGATTGCTATCGAACCTAAATTGTCGTAGAAATTTAGATTCTCCTTTTTTACAGTTATTCGTTCTGCAAACTTGTTTTGATTGTTTACATACTTATTCTGCACATTCAAGAGTGTCAAGAAAGACTGAGAGAATCTTTCTTCGAGACAGAAAAAACGAAATTAAGAAACACTCGTTATTAGTTCATGTCCGTTTTGATGTTGATAAAAGTTGAACAACAAAGTTCTGCTCAACTTTGCTGTTTCTTCTTCAACATTCTTCTTGCTGTTCATGTAGCCACGTCAACATATTTTATACATATCCCGAGCTCCCGATCGCTTCGCCACCAGATCATCTTTAGAACAAAGAGCTTCTCAACGCTGGGAGTGCGTGAGTGAGTGTGGGGTGTCGGGGAGCCGCTCAGCTCTCGGGCTTCCTCTTCCGACCGCGGCGCCAAGCCGATATTCGAGCCGCGACTTCCCGGTCGCGGGGCCCGTCGTACCCCTTTGTTCACGGGCCGTACGCACGATCCTCCCTCCTCGGCCGCGCTCCACCAGCAGTGCAGGCGCTGAGGGGCGGCGCTTCTGCAGTCAGTAGCGCGGCATGCTGGCGCGCACTCAACTCCTGCTCAGCCTACTGCTCATCAGCACCTCGGTCGGCGTACAGTCCTACGATACCGACTGTAAATGGAAGAGCAACATCACCGGTGGGTTCCAACTCGATTTTACTGCACGAAAGTTAGTGCTGGAGAAGTACATTCACAAAAAAACGCGTTGTACCTGCTTCATAGAAAGAAATCACGCGAACATCATATTCCGTTCTAAATCTAGATTGTCCATGAAAAATATGATTATGATGGTCCTCACATCATCTCTTCCGACGTTTTGTTTAAATCACCGTTGCAAATTGTCTACGTTCCGCAATCTGTTAGTTCTAGCCAGCTGACAGTGCGCATTTCAATTTTCTAACGAAGTGGGGGAGTTTTTTCGCGGATACATCGCTTCCATAGCGGCTTTCCTAGCCTTTTTCATAGGCGAAAGCCGAAACGCAAACTGAAAATAGTCCAAGTGCAAGCGACAGATATACCACGATAGTTAAAAATATTGACTTGATTCGCTCCGAAGTTTACTAGAAGTCTCATGACCTCTCTTCAGAACTATGTACTTTTGTATAAAAACAAGAGGTGAACTTCGATGCGGTCTTGCAGAGGACTTAAGGACCCCTGTAACCCGTAGCCCCTCTCCTCTGGCCTTCTTGACAGTGTTGACACGAGCCTTTGTCTGTTGTGTTCATTGCCTCCGAGAGCCTGTTCGGCCAAACGATAAATACTGCTGTTTCTAAGAAAAACTAACCTAACATGTTCTCTAACTCTTGTAAAGTTCTTGTATTGTGCGAAGATAATGACTCTTACTTCAGCGTGTTTGGTATTCTTGAAGTAATTGCAAGAGTCTCTAAGATTGTATGGTCAATGTTCCCATAGTTTATACAAGAACTTACTGGGTCAGCAGTGGTTAAATCGCCTTCAGAGGGCTGCGATAACATCTTCGTTTAACTTTAGCACCTATTTGGGTGTGACTAAGTGGTTATATCTCACCTTGGCCCACGTTTTTAAAAGCGAAAGAGGCTTTTGTCCGACTGCGGTCAACCAAAAATAATTTCCAAATTCACAGCAAGACTGGTGAGACAAAAAGAAAACCTGACCACCCAAAACTAATCGGATTTCAGTACTATTGAGAAATAATGGATGGAGCGGAAGTAAATCTATCTTTTTCCTTCACTTGCATGGGGTATGTAATGGTTGAAAATGACTGATGACTTTACTAAGTAATTTGCGCTGTTTTTGCAGCCGCAGACCACAGAAAGTGTATAAAATGCAAGTTGCAAAAACACGCATGAACTTTCAGCTTTTCCTATGTCCAGACTTTATAAATATCAAAATTTTTTGGAAGTTACATTAAGGACTGTTATTACTCTTAATAACTTTACATCATCTGATTCCCACAGCCGATTCATTTGTAGCTAGATATGTGAACTTGCAGAATTAGAGCTCACTTTTGCGACTCCTTGTTTGTAGAGAGAAAGTAAAATCGTTTCTATAAAACAAACTGTCTCTATTTGACTTTTTACATCTCCTCGCATCTACATATGCCTTTAACAAAAAAGAGCAGAATTTGTCTTGGCAGAAGTTGGTCATGCCGCGCATCGCGTACAGTACAGACATTATAAATGATTTCACTGCGTAGTCCTTCCTTCCAGCTTTTTAAAATCGTATAATTTATCTGTATTTCTGAATCTCTTTTGCTTGTCGTTATTCAGTCAAAACGGCTCAATTTTGAAGCTGGAACATAACCAAGTTCTATTGTGTCTACAACAACACAGAAATGTTGTACAGATTCCATAATTTGAAATCAGCTTCCCTTTCGCCCTTCCCGTGCCCACTTCCTGCCCCGGTCCATTTCGTGTCGGCGAAGAGCCGCCTGAGAGTGCGAATTATGGCGTCGGTGCGTGTGAGGGGGGTGCGAGCCTCCTCTGTCGACATGGGGCGTCCATGGCGCGCAATGCCCACAATTATGTGCCTCAAAATAGGTTGCGCAATGTAAAAACCACTGAGCGACCTCTGCAAATGAGTCTGGGGCACTTCACATGTGCTCATCCCCATCACATGGCTTCTTATAAACACAAAGCAAACGAACACCGCTTCTGAACGGAAAGCCGACCATAGGCCGACCAGGGGGCGAGCAAAACCTCCCAGGGGGCAGTTGACGAAACGCCAAGATCCAGCTGAGATTGTGGATGATCTTCAGCTGACCCTGTAATTTAGTTCACGCGTGAGTGCCGCGATTCTGCACGAACTGTAACGAAACCAGTTGGATTTCGCGCGATTCTCACGGATTTCGACCCGCATGCTGCAACGCCTGACCCTTTGTGGATTTATTCTTGGATTTTGAACGACTTGAATATCTGCGACGCATGCACTACTGGAATCGGGGATGCACGACAGTTTAGGTTTGTAGGGAGAAGTTGGCAAGGACTTCGGGCAATTTGATGAATTTCTTCTAGACATAATCTTCAAATTTCCTACCTTAACTTAATTCACCTAAAATATGACATCAAGACACTTTCCCCATAGATGTACTAATCAAATATTTAAATATAAACTACCAAGAAGTTTTGTACCTACTTGATTCTAGTTTCCTTTTTTACTTAGGAGTTCCATGAAGACTTAGATAATAAATCATAGGCCTCTAATGGAAAGAACAAATGAAATAATGATTCATACATCGTTTTATCTTTTATTTATGACAGCAATGCTCTTCATCTTGCGTAAAGTGGACCGTAAGTGTCTTGTTTGTGACTTACTATGAATGGAAGAGTTGATTCTAAATAACTCCATATTACGCATGGGGAACCAAAAGCCAATTATTCTACGATATTCTTACCATAAACCTTCGCAACATGGATATCTAAATTTCTAGGCCAGACTAGCCTGAAACGGATGAGGTTTTTGTTGGTACTTCTCCAAAGAAGCAATATATACAACGGAAGCAAACAGAAGTGGCTGCTAGGAATTTCGTAATTTGATATGTTTGCCAATTCGCTATTTTTTACTTTAGCTACATCCAACTTTACAATTCTGCACTTCTGAAATAGCTAGCTCTCCAGCGCGTAGACTGTAGCCACCTTTCTACTTTCTCCTATTTGGAGTGGATTTCCCTGTTCTGAGGTGACTAATCTTGTCGGGAATTTTTCCGCTTCTGTCCGTCAACTTTCAAGCCTTCTCGTACTTGACTTTACTTTACAATCATCCTACAGAAGCTATAGTTATGCGCACGATCGATGGAATGAATCATGTTAACATCGTAGGAATGCGTTGAGAATAGTACAGCCAAGCTAATTTTGCATGCTTGCGAGCGGACGCAGCTTTGAGAAGAAGAGGCCATGCATGAGGGGCTACTCCGGAAGGGGAAAGTAAAGATGTGGAGGGAAGCTTTCGGATTATACAGCACTAAAAACTAATTTCATTCCTAATAGAGTCTTCACAGATAATACAGGCAAAAGCGAAAGCGTGGTGATGAAAAGTCTACTTTGAAGGAAAGCTAAATTTGAAAGCCAATTTAACACCCTAAAATCTTACTGATAGGACCTCTCATAAAATAAGTCCGTCTGCAGATGAATGCGATTTATTAGAAAGTCTTACAACTTATCTAACAAGCTTTAAGGGTAATCATAATGGAAAAAAGGGACTTACCTATGGGACGGACTTATCTAAAGAGCCTATTGGTGCACCTATCGGGGTCAAAAGCAGAGCTATCTGAAAAATTTTAGGATATGACAAATTTACGTAACATCTCAAGACATTAAATTTACTAAGCTTCGCATTCATGCATATAAAAATTTCGTCTCTATACGTGGAATTTATTTTGCAGATATTGCAGATATCGCCGACGTTGCCCATCACAAATACCAAGTGCTTGAAGAATGTCTTTTCTACAAATTGACCAAGGAAGCGGACCAAATTCAAGGTGACCTTTTCAAAATTTATAAAACACAAGGGACCTCCGCTTTTTGATTTACTGCAACTATTTCCACTTCTTCTTTGACCGCATCTCATAAAGAAGCGTAACCGCTAGCGCGCTAAGTACGCCGTTGATGACATTTAGCAAGGGTTAATAGCCCCGACACGGCTCGTTTATTGAGTTTATCTTCAATAGACGAAACTTTTATTCCTTCATTGGTTTGCTATTAGAACTTTTCAAAAATATTAGAACATGACCCCCAAAGAGTTGAAAAAATTTTGGTAACATGGAGTGGACTACATCCTTCACACAAACAAAAATGGTGTCGTTTGTGAAGGCCAAATCAAATATAGAACGTCTCAGAAATATAAGAGCGCTTGTTTGGCTAAGTTCTGGTTCGTAGGCATTGTTGTACACTAGAATCCGTTTTGAATAGGATTGCTGTCAGAAAGAGAGACAACAGGGAATCTTTGCATACAAAAGATTGTTGAGTCGAGATGCTCGCTTACCATGTGTAGAGCTTTCAGTAGGTGAATCACAATGAAACGAAAGATCTAACAAACTGAAACCAAGTTGATCGGAAAGATCATGCTGCTAGGTTGGCTAATAAATAAGTTTGTTTTGACATGCAAATTCAAGCTTCATAACAATTCGCGTAGCAGCTATTCAGCTAAGAATTTTTCGTGAGAGTACCTTCAATCCTCTACTCCCAAATTATAAGTGTTCAAGATTTTGTGTTGCCAAAAAAACAGTTATGCCCTAATATGTTCAGACCTCTAAAAAATCGCTTTTTTTTATTCTCTAACTTTCGTTCTCAGCTTGTATTGAGTATGCAAGCGAGTAATTTGGTGGTTAGATACATACAGTCCCTGGCCAGATGGCGAACCACAATGGAGATTGTGATCTGCTTTTTGTACATTTCTGCAGCCAAAAATCTGAAAATTTCCAGGCATTTGCGCGTGGAGGTCAAAAATTGAGCAATATAAATCAGTCGAATTTGAACATCTATGGCCACGCAAATGGTTGGAATTTTAATAACTTGTTGTGTGGGTACCGAATCTACATTTTACACCTGACTTTAGTTCGTTTTTCGGAGCATTATTTTTCGAAAATTTGGGAAGAAATCTACCACTCTTCTTTCCTGCTCCATTTCGTTATTAGAAACATCATTTTTGAGGAAACAGAGTTGACCTTTCGATTCTCCTTGATTTGCTCTTTCCAATGCCTTATACCACAAAAACTGATTTGTGACATTTCTACAAACCCATGAAAACACCGAACTTATTTTTTAGCCAACCCAATATAATTATTACTGCAACAGACAAATGCGTTACAGCATGAAATTTGAGAAGTTTTTCGGCTTTGACTCAACATCAACTCGACCATATCGTTGATCGTTGTAAATAATCTTTCGTACTAGCAATCCTACTGTGCAGCGCTCGTCTTTCAAAGTAAATAGGCATTTGAAGTCAAAGAGTTTTTATAGTCCTGGAAACCCTGAATCTCCTTACGGCAAAAGCTTGTGAGCCACTAATCACTCTGAAAGATTGCTATATATCATGATAAATGGAATTTAAAAGATGGAATTTGTCTAAATGCAACTCGGTAGAAAAGAAGAGATTCCAAATGCTCCGATTATAGTAAGCTGGAAAAATTCCACAGTTTTAAGATCCAATTCCACAGAGCCGCCGGAGTTCGTGTGGGAGAACACAGCATAGATTTTATGGGAAGCTATTATTATCATTATCTACTGTTATCGAGTCTAACTTCTTTTGCTTGAGTATGACAGATTCTTCAAAAAATGCATAGTCACATCCAATTTGAACCCCATTTTCACCAGCCACGTACTATAGCACAATTCAAATTAATGAAAAATCACAATTTGAATGCTGAAGCGATCATTTTAATAATTCAACGAGAAATTACAATTTGAACGCTGAAATGCCCACAAGAAATACGTTTCCTTCTTCGAATGAATTTACTAAACTACTATTTCCTTTCACTGCTTAATTGCCTCTAACCACTGTCTTAATCGACTGCACTTTCCAGGGAAGAGTAATGCCCTCATGCTTCTTCCGCCGACGGTGGCGGCTGGGGAGACCTTGGACGTGCAGGTTTTGCATGCTGGTGTGAGGCAAATGTGGATGGTTGGTTACTCTCCGTGTCTCGATGTATAAATCATTTTTTGAATTCAGAACGAAATCTTCAAGGAGATGAACATCAACGGCTACCTGAAACTGGTCAGTTTGATTTCTCTTCACCATAACGGGGTTTTCGACGAGATAGAGCCGTGCGCGAGAGGAGCATGGGAATTTGCGGGTGTTAACGGTGTTTGCGACGCGGCCGAGAGCAGAGTGGTCGCCAAACAAACACAAGCTCAGAGAGAATCCGAGAAACAGAGAGTGGACACACGAGTTGCTAAGGAGCTGAGCATACACTCAGCCATTCACTGACCACTAGAAAAAACCACGACCCGCAACTCGGTAGCGGGGGTTGAGCGCGCGCGACTGCGCTCTATATGGTCTAGAGCAAGTGGATCCCATTTGTGCGTTAGTTTGAAAGTAGTATGGTCAGTATTGGAAGAACCTGTTCTGCTTTGACTTGAGACATTTGTGAGCAAATTTTCTGGGTCATTGTACGTATGATCGGTCCGAGTTGCTTCTGACCAGTGAAGGATGTTCAATTGAAATGGCATTTTGAGATCGAATGCACACCTTATTGGAGGGTTTGAAGCACTAATTTCAAAATTGCCTTTCCTATTTGCGGAGCATTCTGTGCGACGAGATATAAGGGCTTGTAGTTGTCAAAAATCAAATGAGCAATTAGGATTTAACCAGTTGCTCAGAATTTTTCGAACTCAAATGTGGCAACAGTGAATGAGGCTATACTTAAATTAAGAGCAGCACGGAGTGTTTTGATAATCATCACTGCTGCATGTGAGGTTTAGGGAGAATATCACGAGCGAGTGCATCCAAATGGCGCAATTTATTTTATGCCTTATCGGAAGCTTATAAGTCCTCGTCCAGAAACGCTCCACAGATAAGGAAGGCAGCCTTTTATTCAGCGTTTTATGCCCTCTAAGATGGTATGCATCTCATCTGAAAAGGCCACTTCGACCAAACATCCCCCGCCCCCTCCCCTCTTGAGAAATCAGATATATACCATTGTCGTGTAAGCTTTTTTTCACGAAAATTCATCGAAAAACCAAAATGAAATTGCTTTGCTTAACTCAGACAAAATAAGTTTATTTTAATGACTTTGAAGTATATTACCTGCTTGTGCCAAATCATTCATGCCTAGAATTAGAGAAATTAATTTCCCGAGAAAAATGCAGCCTTTCTGATATTTTTCTACACAAACTAGAGGATGTGAAATGGAAATTCAAGGTTGTACTTCTGAAAGTTTATAGGCTTTCAAGTGAGCGTGGGTGCCGAGGAATGTTTTGAAAGCTCCAATTTTGTTCTGGAGATCTTTTAGAAAAACGTTGGGGTAATCAAAAATGAGATTTTGCTTTCAAACTTCACTCCAAATTTTTTGCATTGCTTGGACACTACAGTGGAGAGTTTATTTGTTCTCTTATATTGAATAGGTTAAGGTTACCGAAATAATTCAGAAAAATATGAGTTCCTGCAAATAGGACAGAAATCATGGGACAAATATATCTCAAAACTCGTTTGACTGCGTGAATTGCGACATGAATTGAATGTTTTTTATGGTCCGCATAGGCCAACTAGTAAATCCCTTTGTCCACAAAAGAAAATGAGTTCAGCTGACGCGATAGTTGCCTTGCATATGTAGTTTGCAAAAACGAAGAGGATGCTGTAGAATGGCTTCATACCATGCTTGATTGCACTCAATAAATAGCGTATACTTTTTCCATACAGTTTGCTCAAGATGTAAAGGATTGTGTCATCGTCTCTAATACATTACCACTAGAATACTACGGTAGTAGATCTCAGTCAGACTGAAATATGTGAGAGTACTCGAACCATCAAAACTCACTGTTGGTTACGTATCGCATTGGTTACATCTATTTGATTTACAGGGCAAATAGAATTTTTAAACGATTTCAAGTTGTTTCTGCAAAATTTTTGGCTGCCGAGCTGTCAGTTTTACTCGTATTCCCTATTTTTATAGTCGTGGAAGGACAGGCGCCTTCGTTGGGATGCAAATGAATGGAAGACCGATGTGCTCAGCATTAAGTCTTTCGGACGTCTATGGGTTCCGGACATCAACTCTGACAAGTTCGTTGAATCCAGTCATTCCAAAAAAGTTTTTTGGTATTGAATAAGCAACCAGTTTATGAGTGCATAACAATTCTTATTCAATGAACTGCGGTTTCTATTCATCACACAAGTGTTCAGCAAACATGCACTACAGCCACAATTTCAGACATCAAACCGGCCAGCAGTCCGCGGATTACGTTACCTTCCAATCACTGAGCTCGAATAACAATGGGAACGTCACCGGTCGCCTCGAATTCCGAATACAAGCACACTGTGAGATTGACTATACGGAATACCCAAGCGTAAGTCTATTGCTAGGGTTGCTCGGGGGGAAAAACAGGGCGATACGGAATGGGGTGCTGCAAATCCATAGGGAAAATTGTAAGTAAAAGTTGGTTGTGATGAAAACAAGTAGCAGTTCAGCAACACCTTGCAGTGACACATTTTCCCACTAATTTTCGGATAGTCTCTAATGTGGGTAGAATTGGGAAGTTGAAAAGCTTTTGGAAAGCCTGGGAATCTGCCATTAGAGGAATATCATCTTTTCTTTCCGCTATATTTCGATCCCTCATCACCTCCTTATTATGTATTTACTAATCCTTTCCTCTTCACTCCCTCTCGCAGGCAAAAGAAATGATTTAACTCGGTGAGAGGCCTACATTTACCTAAGACCTTGAATCACCCTGAATAGAAAACAATAATTAAACTCCTTCCTTGTCAGAAAAGAAATAATAATCAATCAGCGCTGGTAACGAACATTCTCTTGATTCAGCCAGAATTTATTTTGATAATAATACGATAAGACATGCGGCACATTTATAAATTATACTCGGCCTTCATCAAACTCGAAGATTGGGAATTGGACGGCCTGGTGGGTTGCAAAAAGGCTTCAGCAAAATACAATGTGAACATTTGAAAATAATAATAGTTGCAGTTTTTGATCAAATTCAGTACCTGTTTTGTCATAAAAAACTTCATTGCACTGTGCTTTCCACACTTTTGTCATTTATCTGAGAATAACCATGAGATAGGATCATTAGTATTGATGAAACGAAAAACCAAACTGAAGCAATATCAAGACCATATGTATGCTCCAATAGTGTATTCCTGTATCCCCTGTGCACTGTTTACTTATTTGGAAATGGCGTGTCCCTTAGCTATTTTTCTTGGTCCCGCATTTTGGGTTTTTTCATAATCGACAAAACGTTTTTGTACAAATGGATGGAAGTTCATTCTAGAGATCTGCTTATTCTGTATTAGACCTTGGTTAGCCTCTTATGCCCTGGCGAAGCAAACCTTCGTCCTTTTTATTTTATGAATAATGCGTTTACACTCCACGGCAATGCCCAGACGGCGGCCAGTGATACAAATGTAGCGGAAACTGGAACTTTGATTTTTTAATTGCACACCATCTGAGTGACCGTGATTCAGGGTCACGCACTACATAAAATTAATGTGCCTCGACGTAGATTGATTCGTCACTCACACGCATTTCGGCAAGATAGCCAAGACGAAATGGGGATTCCAAACCTCTCAAGACTCACTCCCTCCTCACAACCGAATTATTCTGCTTTTTCAGGACATCAAACACTGCTGCTTCAATCTACAGTCAACACTCTACAAACGCTACATCAAATACTTTTTGGAGAATGAAGATGGTTTGTTTAGATTCCAAATCCGTAAACAGCTTTGTTGACGGAGTTGTTTATTCTTAGACCATCTCGACATCTCGCAGCTAAAGACAAACTGGCACATAGAAAATTCGTGGGTGAAGAAGGGTACACAAGAAGGAGACAACAAGTGAGTTCGTCCATGACTATATATAGAAATTAAGACTTTACCGAAAACAATGGAGAACTTGGTCAAATCTTTACTTCAACTGCTTCTTCTTTCCTCTTCTCACAAATATTCAAAGGTGCGACGTAGCTCTCCTTTTGAAAACAACTCAACTTAAGCTCCGTATTCCAAATTTTACCTGGTTTATCTCCTAGAAAAGTTCCCATAGGTACACGTCAGCTCGCTGCCTTTCGATCGTTTTGACATATTCACTTTGATAAAATGCCTTGAATTGCTGAAGTCAACATGTTAGAAAGAGCGAAAGGCAGCGAGCTGACGTGGTACCCATGGGAAAATTCCTAGGGACAGACGATACAAGATACTTCCATATTAGGTACAAAAATAAAAAGTTTCAAATAGAAGTTCCTACATAAGATGGAAGAAACTGTGGATGCACATTTGAAAGCAGGTATGAACAGAAAATGGCAAAATTCTGATTGTTATTCATTCGATGAGGTATCTTCGAGTTTCTAGAGTATATCTCTTTTTATTGCCACGTGATACTTTCACTGATGTTCATACCTACTTTCAAACATGCATCCACAATTCTTTCTTTCATTCATCTACAGAAAACTAGCGGAAAACTAGTGAATTTCTATAGATAGTTTTGGGATCAAAAGTCGAAATAGTAGTTCCGTCAAAGTTCCGTCAGTCTTTTTTCGCAAGATTAGATCGACGATAATAACTGAGGGGAGATGCACTGAAGACTACATATAATGAACATGTGCCTCGAAAGAACTTTTCTCTGACTAGTTCACAAGGGGAATGTACAAGCAAAGACGATTCCTATTCCTTAAGTGTGTAGCTTTGGTTGCACAAACATGGATATTCTGTGAGTTCCATGTTAGTCCACAGTCTCCGCATCAGCGTCTCTGGAAGCAGTGGAAACGCCTGCAAAAGTGGATTGGTACCATCTTCCACGGAATCATGTTCCTTGACTTTATGGCTTACCGAGGTGTCAGTAGCCTAGATGGTCACTCAACGTTGACGCTTCTATTGCTCATGCAAACTTTACAGCCAAACAGTGGTTCCCCCACTGCAGAGGGATCAGGGCTCAGCAGAGTTGGCGCTTTCACACGCTGAAATCGTTTTCAAAGGGGGAAGCGAGGGGGAAAAAGTTTCCACTCGGAAACCTGACGAAATATCAGAGAACACAACTCTAACAACTCTAACCGGAGACGGTCTTTTCGCGCGGACGGTCTCAAGCGCCACCCTGATTTTAACTTGTTTGAACACGTCACGCACGCCGCAAACCTTTCCTCGCCTTGCTTTGCTTGGGGAAGCCGCCGCAGGATGCGTCGCGCGCGGCGGTGGTCCGGCGTGGAAAGCATAACGGTGGTGCGAATCGCCGTACACCCACTCTAACTTTTAGCAGGCCATAAATAAAAGGTCTAACGTATTTTTACCAGTTACAGGTAAATTACACGTTACAAACACGACAGTTCGTAAGCCTGTGTGCACACGATTTCAACGCGTCAAAACACAATCTTTACGCACAAAATATAAACAATCGGTTTGTCTACAACGAGTAAGCAATGTTGAACCACCAAATTTGGTATGTAGATCCGCGGAGATGGTCAAAAGAAAAGTACGAAAAATTATGAAAAAAATAGGTGAACGAGAGAAGTCTTAAATGTTTTTCGATTTTAGGTTGCTCCCGCGCAACCTGAGAGCACCCTGAGGTTGCGCTGGACCAGGCAAAATCATGAATCTTTACAGTTTTCCTCATCTTCACATGGTTGTCATTTTTCTTACATAAATTTATTCCTTAGATCAAGCTCTACCTACCTATGGTGCTCACCTTGACCCAAATTTCGTCCCCTACGCTTTGTTACGGCTCTTAACAGCTTTTTGCCGCATTTCGCTTCTCAATGTTTGATTTGTTCTCGTCTTTTCTCTTTAAATCACTTTTTTCGTTGCATATTCTTAGAGCTCCTCTACAAACACCAAAAGGTAGCGCGTAATTTATTGCAGTGTCAAGGGTGATTTCGTTTTTGAATTTTTTACATGCCACCCCCTGCTGGAGGGATAAGTGAACGATATGCAAAAATCAAGTTCAGTTTTTGATAAAATTGCTTCTCACGAGTTTTTCAGCTGCGATAATAGCAAGAATACGCAAAACATCTCGATGTTAAAGGCAGAGGCTTGGCAGAATGACAAATTCGGGATATTCATCGTTGTCGGTTCCCCTAGATGAGCTAAGTCTAAAGGTATCCCGCTTTTCCCGAAGTGAAAAGTGCTATTTGAGCGGACGGCGTATGCCTACCCTCGAGCGCGAATGTCTCGTGGGTACGGTAGGTACGCTGTCCACACTCACAAGCCAATCGCGCTCAGCAAAATACGCAGTCCGCCCAAATAGCACTTTTCACGTCTGGAAAAGCGGGTTATTAATATCTTTCAAAGCTGCAAAGCACAGTCTTGGACTTAACTCGTCTAGGGGAACCCAGAACGATGAATATCCCAAAACTGTCATTCTGGCGAGGCGCTGCCTTTGAGCAAAATTTGATGGGGAGATATACCGCAAAAATGTTCTTTTTTGAGCTTTTGACTTGGCAAAGAGCGGCTGTGATTTTTCAAAAGCAGTAAAATACACAAATACTGGAGAACTTAGTATTCTGTAATCGTGGCACAAAGTGTACGTTTTTCATTTTTGGTGAAGACAGCGCAAAATTAGGAATTTCACGCTTTGATCCCTTGCAGAGGAATTCTAATATACGAGTTGCAGTTAGCCTGAAAAAATTCTTTTATTTACAAATCCCGATATTACAGATGAAGCATTCACGCCGTAAATGAGCCCTTGCTTGGCTAATACTGGCAATGCACTTTACCCTGTAATTGGCATCAAATAATCAAACTTGTAAATGGAATCTTTTGTGTCCAATGTTTTCAAAGCTTGACAAATGACATTCTATTTTGATTAATTTGCTTGCACTTTACGGTTTGCTATTGCACTACAGTAATTAAAGTGTATATGCTTGGCGGTGGGTTATATTCCCTGACGAATTGCTACTTAGAACGAGGTTTTATAGCTTGTTGACCTGCTGCAATTCTCCAAATTGCTATTCATCTATAGAATAAAAAGTTAACACTTGTAAGTGCAAAACTCTATTGGTTCTTGCAAAAAAAGGTTAATCCTACAAACATGCTTTATTTGGTTGAAATGTTGCAGAATTGTTTCATTTCAAAGTGAATAGTAAAGTTGAAAGTTCAAATAAGTATCTCCTAGTATACTGTCTGCGACTTCTACAAAAGTGTCTTGTTTTTTGGACATGGTTGCCTTTTCGTTTTCAAATTCTTTTCGTTAAGAGCTGAAACGTTGGAAATCTGCTTGACAGCGAGACGAAAATCCACAACGCTGGCAGTGGAGCTAACTCTACCGGTTCTGATATCTGCGCTCTTGCTTCTGATCGCTCCATTTTTCGGCAAATTCGATCAGCAGGTGAGGATTTGCTTAATTTGCTTTTGCGACTCAAAAACGGTCCCAGTTGCAAAATCTCTGCTCTTGCTAATCCTTTTAACTGCACCTTTCCATCCTCACCGCAAATCGATAACAAAATGCTCGACAAAGGGAACTGAAATGTTATTTTTAGATCAAAGTGAAAATGTTTGCACTATTGCTACAATTTATGAGCTTCCAATTCATGGCCGAGAAAACTCCACAGCTAGGATTTGGCGCTACTGTGCCGAAAATTTGTGAGATCGCTTCAACAATGTCCTTTCGCATATAATAATGTATGTGTTTGTTGCAGATGTATTTTATGCGTTTACACTTGCCGTGACTGTAATCAGTCTGATAGTCACAGTACTGATTGCAGCAATGAGCAGAATTAAGAGGAAGGTGCCACCAGGTAAGAGAAATTTTATCGGAAAGCTAGTATTGCGTAGTAAGACTAAATATCCGTTCGGTTTTGTCAATGGTGGAGAAAATTTCGCCTTTTCGTTTATGTCTGAAAATTGAGGTAGTGGTGGAGAAGACAACCGTAAGTAATCATTCTCAGAAAAATGACCGGAACTTCCGCAGAACGTTGGGGAAGTTCCGCCGGGTCACCTGCGGAAGTTCCGTAAACGTGCTGCGGAAGTTCCGAAGAATGCCAACCACAACAGCAAAAGAGAACACCAAAGCGAGATTAGAATCTCTATAGACTGTGAGACCCACCTACTATCCTCTACGCTACGGCTGACATGTTCGATAATGCACTCTAGTTGTTGACGAGGCAACATCACGAGACAACACATCCAAAGTCCTGCGGAAGTTCTGGCAGGCCAAAATGCTGTGGAACCTTTGGCATTTTTCGGAATTTCCGCAGGATTTTGAAGAAGGTTTTGCGGAAGTTCCGCTTTTCAACCAGTCTGGCATAAAAATCCCGCGGAAGTTCCAATTTTCAGCGGTTTTTATTTTTGCAATAGTGAACGAAATCCTGCGGAACTTCTGCAAATTTGGCTTGTCCTGCGGAAGTTGCGGTGATTTGTCTGAGTTTGTTGAAATTTTTGTCAACTGTGAAGAAAGTTGCACTTTCTCTTTCATGCTGGAAAATGAGGTGAATTCAAGATACTACCTGCATACGGTTTATCCCATAGAATGGGCCCATTCCAGTCTCAGTAGTCAGTGCGGCTCAGCTAACAAACATTCTTAAAAGTCTAATATATTTCAAAGTTAATGCAGCATTACTGCGTTTCCAGAAGCATTCGTTCTAAAAATTGACCATTATCGGCAAAACACAAAAATGTGCTCTCACTGGCCTTTTCTTCGCAAGTGCTCTCAGGGCTCGGCACGAGGTGGCTAGATGAAAATGGAAAAAACGAATTCCCCTTTGACTTGTGGGAATTTTTACGAAGTCCCCTTTGACCCTCAACCAAATTTTCCCAAAATCCCCCAAAAAACGAAACGTCGACTAAAAAAACGTCGCCAAATCGTCAATTTTCCGTCTTTTCAGTCACAAAAACGAAACTCCCTTTGCTTTTTGTCCCAAAAACGATACCCAGCTTGCTTACAAGCCACCTGTGCCGAGCCCTGAGTGCTCTTAGCAAAGCACGGTTTCACCGTCGTCACTTCACTAGACTGTATTCCCTTTTGCTGATAACTTGATTGCTAGTTTTATCTTGATTGCTAGCTTCTACCTCAATTCCAGCACATCGCTTCACACTGCTAGCCTCTGTACTGAATGCTAACCTCTGTTGTGGATCTGAAGAAGAGCCCATCACCGATGGCACATCTTCGAAGGTTTGTTTGTGATTTTTCATACTTCATGAGACTGTGCAAAGCAAAAAATTTCCAGGATGCTTCAGCTGACTGGCTTCAAATCCATGCCGCCATGAACAATCTAGCCAGCTGTCTTACCATGATCGTTTATGTAATCGGAGCGATTGTTATTGTCTTTTAGATTTTAGCTGAAAACAATCGCGAAATAACTAAACCGCAAAATACCAAAAACGCAGGCTGATTGTGCGCATGATCGCTTTAAGGCTTCTTCACTTAAGCTCTTCACTTTTCCGGAAGTCAATCAAAAGTACGGTGGCATTGTATGTATTGTATTTATCTCGTCAAACTCGATCAATCTTGTGCTAAATAATAAATATTCATACGACTTTCACACAGTGCAAATAACTCAAAGCATACTGCTAAAGTTTATGCCGCAAAATATTGTCACGTCTCCGTGCTTTAGCAGAGTTAAAAGGTTTCTATTCTGTAGATTGCAGAAATGCTGAACTTTGCTGCAGCATTTTCAACCTTTTAGTAGGCAGTTATCGTATTAATACGTATATATCTAGCATAGAAAAGTACAATTACTCTTCATGGAGATTAGTAATTGCAGCTTATGATGTAGGTAAATCCATTCAACTGGAGTCGTTAATGAGTACATGTAACATTTATGCCTTCATTACGAGGTAGTGTAGGAATCAATCACTTAATGTCACTCACAATCACTTAGCAGAAGAACAATGGCTTCTCTTTCAATTTGCATCTGCTAAATACTACTTTTAGCCAGGTCCTGGATGCGTTTAGTCAAGAAAGATTAAGGTTTTTCATTCACTCACCTATAGCTACTTGAGGTGCTTCGAATCAGAGCCAAAAACATTCGCAACTCTTCTAAGTGGGAAGAGGAGAATGCGCTTAAGTACCCGAGCAATTTCTGAAACTAAAAGAGCTCAGAAATTTCGAATATACTAAAGAGTTGCACAAAATTTAGTAGGCGACATATTTTGGACCATCTTTGCTTTGTCGCTGCGAGTCAGGAAATGAAGATGGCTCAAAGGACGTAATTTCAATTACAGCTTGTCTCTGATAATTGCGGAACACTTCTAGACGACGAGTTATGAGCATTTGATCAAACAACAAATCAATGCGCAACTAGAACAAAGTTATTCCTTACAGTTTTAGCGTCCAAATAAGCATTGATGCTGTAAGTCTAACTGTTTATTTATTCGCAATACACTATAACAATTGTCACCTCACAAGGAATTGATAAATGGTTGTGCAGAGATGCCTAGGCATAGAGTACCTTAAAGGCAGTGTCCGGGCAAAAACTCGATTTCGAGATTTTGTGCTTATCCGGGCCTATTCGCTACGCTGAATCCGAAAACGCACATTGGAGAGCGCGAAAACGGCGGAAATCGGCTCTAACACAGGAGGGAAATCAGAAAGTGGGCGGGGTCCTCCCCACTGTGAATCCACGCTCCCAGCTTCCGGAGCGATCTTCTCGCTTCCGGTTTCAAGTCAATCATTCGCACTTGGCCGGTAGCGATGTTAGGACGGCTAGCGGAATCAAGAAGACCGCTCCGGAAGCTGGGAGCGTGGATTCGCGGTGGGGAAAATCCCGCCCACTTGCTGTTTCCCTCCTTCGCTAGAGCCCTTTTTTTGCCGTTTTCACGCTTTCCAGTGTGGATTTTCGGATTCAGCATAGTGAATAGGCCCGTATAAGCACAAAAACTCGATTTTGAGATTTTGTGCTTATACGGGCCTATTCACTATGCTGAATCCGAAAATCCACACTGGAAAGCGTGAAAACGGCAAAAAAGGGCTCTAGCGCAGCAGGAAAACAGCGAGTGGGCGGGGTCCTCCCCACTGTGAACTTACGCTCCCAGCTTCCGGAGCGGTCTTCTCGATTCCGCTAGCCGTCCTAACATGGCTAACGGCCAAGTGCGAATGGTTGACTTGAAACCGGAAGCGAGAAGATCGCTTCGGAAGCTGGGAGCGTGAATTCACATTGGGGAGGACTCCGCCCACCTGCTGATTTCCCTCCTGTGTTAGAGCCGTTTTTCGCAGTTTTCGCGCTCTTCAATGTGCGTTTTCGGATTCAGCGTAGCGAATAGGCCCGGATAAGCACAAAATCTCGAAATCGAGTTTTTGCCCGGACACTGCCTTTAACACTTATCGTCTTTATGGTGCATAGGAATTCTGTTGTGAGTAACTTGTTCGGATAGAAGTTTACTTAGATAGGAAAAATGAATATGTAATCAACAGGGGCGGTCCCAGAAATTCTGTTCTTGAAGAATGAAAGGGAGCGGTGAACGCGACAGAATTTGTTCAATTGAAGCTTATTCTCCCCTTCGGGAATTTTTCGGATGCTCCTTAACTTTTAGTGGGTCTACGAATTTCTTGAAGTTTTGGTTGCACAGTTCAACTCATATAGGTAACTTTCTTCGCGATTCACTCTCGGGCGTGGACTCCTCTCCTCTCGGTCGTCATTGCCCTTTGGGTCTGTAATGGCTTCATCACTAGAAGGATGGCAGTGCTCTAGTGGCACCGCATTGTATGCGCCTTCTCATTTGTCTGTCTGTCACAGTGTGGTGTTGCAGCAGTGCCCTAGTTGCACAGCACTGATTGGAGAGGCCTTGAAGGCAGTGTCCGGGCGAGAAGTCGACTTCAAGACTTTGTGCTCATCTGGGCCTATTCGCTGTGCTGAACCCGAAAATCTACATTGGAGAGGGCGAAAAAGGCAAAAAAGGGCTCTAACGCAAGAGGGAAATGAGCAGGTGAGTGGGCCTTCCACTCTGTGAAGTCACTTCACCAGCTTCAGGAGCGATCTTTTCAGATTCGATTTTGAGTCCTGCCCTCGAACTTGGCTGGTGGCGATGTTAGGGCAGCTAACGGAAGCGCGAATATCACTTCTGAAGGTGGGAGAACGACCTCACGGAGTAGAAGACTCCCCCCCCCCCCCTCCCCTGTTACTTACCCTCTTGCGGTGGAGCTCTTTTTCGCCGTTTTCGCGCTCACTAGTGTGGACATTCGGATTCAACATAGCGAATAGGCGCAAGTAAGTGAAAAATCTCAAAAAATTTTGGATACTGCCTTCAAAACTATCTCCTGTGTTTGACTGCATGGGAAGATTTCCCAAGTGGCACTGCAAATTTCTGTCGGGATTCTGTAGTGGCTACACCACTATGAGAATGCCAGTGTTCAAGTGGCCATCGCGTACCCCTGTGGTATATTGCTCCGTAGTCTGTGAGAGGGTAGCACACTATTAGCACAGCATCAAAGTAGAAATTCATGGAGGAACCTTAAAACGCACTACAATTAAAAATTCGGGAATTCTTCTTGATCCCATCGTCAAATTTTCACATACCGATGATGTAGTCAGGAAACATTTCGCATATGCTGGTTCAACAGGAACGTTCCTGTTTACGATGATCGCCCGAGAATTCTGAGCATGCGAAGTTTCCGATCTGGTAGTGCTTCAAAATATTATGTGAAGAATCAGACTCAAAACCAGTAAATACTGGATATTCCTAGTAATCAACGCTTAGGAACATTTGATCTGCATTATCCCACTATCAGTAGAAATCGATTCATGGTGATATTTAACATATTGTTCTTTCGAGGCGCAACATGGTAGCAACATTTTCCATCTCAGATACTACAGTCAAGTAACATATGTTCAAAAAAATTACCTAAGCTTCATTTAGGTAAACTTCTACAAAATTAAAACCTGTCTACTTTCCAAATGCATTGGGTTGTCTCGTAATTAATGCACGTTTTTCTAACCTCTTTCTGAAGAAGTGATTTCCAAAAGAACTGTTTTTCTCAAAAACCTTTCAGGGCATCTGGAAACTGAGTTCTCTTAGTTTCTATTTTTTTTTGTCCTTTCGCATACATAAATCTTTGGTCAAACTGGATTTCCAAGACTCCAAAAATAAGTGACTCAAACTTGAAACTCTTTCCTTTCATTCTCCTTGGTCTAAATAAATTAAAAATGAACGGACTTAGTTCAAAAAATATTCGCATAGTAATGAAGTCTTGTGCAACGAAATGCTTAGTTAGACAGATAATGCCTTCGGACTACAAGGACATAGAAAGAATGAGAAGCATCTGAGACAAGACTTGACGACAGGTTGACTCCGAGTTTGATCCAACAGCGAAAGATCAGTTTGATAGGTTCTTCAGGCTTATCTGAAACCGAGAGAATCCCTTGCTTCTGCGTTAGCTGACAAGCAGTAGATTTCTACTCGAACACAGATTTACAGGTGCATGAGTGTGATAGTTTTTTTTAACTGTGCGGTTCCTTCCCACTTGAGGGGTTGTATGGGTGGAATACTTTGCAAGTCAAATTCTGGTGTTTGGACTTTCAATGTGTAACCATAGTTCCACAAGAACATATAAAGCAGCCTTACTTTGTCTTTCTTCTGATTCGTTGATGTTCCCTTGTGAACGAAAGCGACTCCATTTGTAGTAAACGATAATAAGCTGAGTTTGCATTCACCCGTTCAATTTCGAATGAATTTATAGACGACCGACGAAAAGCTAGAAGCGATTCCATGTCTCTGGCCAGCACTAGGAGCGGAACTTCGACAGAGAGGCGGCGTTCAACTAGCTGAGTTCCAGTGCACAGATCATGCGTCGAAAACGGCGTAAGGGAAACTGCCCTTCTTCTGTCTTCAATGCTCTCTTCCTTCCCATTCTCGCCGTGCTCTCCTTCCACCCTCCATAATCACCCTTCTTCCCAGTATCGCCATGTCCACTGTCTTCAGAGGAAAGAGCTCTGTCCATAGCATAGTACAGTGGATCGGCTCTGGATATATTATCTACGATGTGCTCGGGTAATACGATTATGCGACTCTTATTCGTGAGAACTTGCACGACCACCTGACAAAACTTTGGCACGATGGTTTAACCTCCGGACAAGAAACTTAGCATTTCCAGCCTAGTAGAAAACCTCAATACATCCTCGTCAAACTCTTGATTACAGTCCTCGATATATCTTGTTGTTTTTTTACTTTTATTGCTCTCACTCCTTCGACCGCTGCGAAGTCGAGGAATGAAGAGACAGTAGAGATGCTCATACTCAGACAAATCATCGGAACTTCCGCAGGACAAGCCAAATTTGCAGAAGTCCCGCAGGACTTTGTTCACTATTGCAAAAATGAAAACATTGAAAATCGGAACTTCCGCGGGATTTTCGTGCTACGGTTGAACACCGGAACTTCCGCAAGCGCCCTGCGGAAGTTCTGGCCACTTGTATGAGTAATACCTGCGGCAAAACTCTATGTACCAAAAAAAGGGGAGATCAGCCTTGGACACTCCTACAACGCCGCTTAATCCACGAGCGCAGTCTAAACGATACAAACGCAAGCCCAAGGTGAAGTCCCACCTGTT